AGTGCCCAGGGATGTGCAGGTTAGGGTGGATTGGCCGTGCTAAATTGTCCCATAGTGTCCAGGGATGTGCAGGTTAGGGTGGGTTGGCCGTGCTAAATTGTCCCATAGTGCCCAGGGATGTGCAGGTTAGGTGGATTGGCCGTTGGAAATGCAGGGTTACAGGGATAGGGTAGGGGTTTGGGTCTGAGTGGGATGTTCTTCAGAGGGTCGGTATGGATTCAATGGGCCAAATGGCCTGCTTCCACACCATAGGGAGTCTATGATTCATACCATGTAAAGTGCAGTAGGGTAATAGAATAGAGCAAGGAATACAATGTTACTGCTGCAGAGAAGGTGCACAAAGAGTGAGATCAACATTAAATGTAAAATTTGAGAAGTCCATTCAGAAGTCTAGTAACGGCGGAGAAGAAGCTGTTCTTGAGTCTGTTGGTCTGCGTGTTTAAGCTTTTGTATCTCCTGCCCGACGGAATAGTTTGGAAGAGATTATAACCGGAGTGGGAGGGATCTTTGATGATGTTGGCTGTCTTTGTAGGCCATTCTAATAAACTGCCCTCGCTGTAACACACTGATATACCCCTCATCCCTCACTGTAACACACTTACATATGCCACAGTCCTCACTGTAACACTGTCCAACATAGCGCCCCTCACTGTAACGCTCTCTGATATAAATTGGTGGTGTGGTTGACAGTGAGGAAGGTGGTCTCTGATATTGATTGGCTGGCAGAGCAATGGCAGATGGAATTTAATGCTGATAAGTGTGAGGTGATGCATTTCTGGGAAGTGTAATGAGTGAAGGATTTGCACAACGAATGCTAGGTCCCTGGGGAGTACTGAGGAACAAAGGGATCCTTCTGTAGGATCAGGAAATATAGACAGGGCGGTGAAGAAGGCATGCCTGCCTTTATTGGCCAGGGCATCGAATATAGGAGCAGGGAAATCTTGTTACCACTTTATAGAGCATTGGTTAGGCCACAGATGGAGTATTGTGTGCAGTTCTGGTCGCCACACTATCAAAAGAATATGATTGCATTGGCAAGGATGCAGAGGAGATTCACCAAGATGTTGCCTGAGATGAACAATGTCAGTTACGAGGAGAGACAGGGTAGCCTGAGTTTCATTTCTGTCCTGAAGAAGGGTTCCGACCCAAAACTTTGACACTCCTGCCCCTTGGATACTGTGTGACCTCCTGTGCTTTTCCATTTCTACGTTTTTAGACTTTGATTTCCCTGAGGCAGAGGTGACTGGGGGCAGTTCTAATCAAGGTATTCAAAATTATGAGAGGCATAGAATCTTCAACCCTTGACAGATGTATCTAAGACCAGAGGACGAAAGTTTGAAAGGTGAGGAGTATGTGGTTTAGAGAGGATCTGAGAAAAAGATCTTTTCACCCAGAGGATGGTAGAAATATGGAACATGCTGCCCGAGAGGGTGGTAGAGGTAGGTACTCTCTCACAACATTTAAGAAGCATCTGGACAGGACTTAAAATGACAGGGTTTTGTTGGCTGCAAACCAAGTGCAGATAAATGGGATTAGAGTTTGTTGGTGAGCAAAGACATAGTGGGCCAAAGGGCCTGTTTCCATGCAATGTGACTCAATGACTATACTTCGCAGTCCTCACTGTAACGCAGTTACATACTTTGCAACCCTCAGTATGAAAGTCTGAAGTACTCCACACTTGCCCTCAATATGTAATTCTGATATACTCCACACTCCTCAATATAACACTCTAATAAACTCCCCTCACTGTAACGCTGTCTAATATACCCTTCGTCCCTCACTATAACACACTTACATAATCCACACCCCTCACTGCAACAGTCTCACGTATACCCCACACCCCTCACTGTAACACTCTCTGATATATCCCATACCCCTCACTGTAACACTCTCTGATATACCCCATACCCCTCACTGTAACACTCTCTGATATACCCCACACCCC